AGTTTATCACATAGTTGCAGGCTGAAGACACCTCCACATTCTTGGAGTGCTTTACGCCAATTATTATTTTCTTTGCAAACTAAAGTGCCTCCTGTGTGCCTCGAAATAAGACTTTTTGTATAATTGAGAGCTATTACAGCATTATTTTTCATGTTTTCTGTTATCAGCCAGATGAAAAGTCAAGCAGAAAACAGAACTGTTTGAATCTAAGCTTTGTACGTTAGCATATGGCAGCTTTCACCAAGCTTGCTACTTCTGGCCATTATTTTCCTTTGGAAGAACTATAGACAGAGTGGTAGTAGGGAAAAGTTGAAAGTGCAGTCTACACAGGACCCAGAGATAGGCTCACAACATCAGCATCTATGAATATCACCACAATCCCTCTCTTCTGACTGAGCAGCTTTATTACCATACAGGCAAAACCATACGTCACTGACACGCTGCTGCAAAGAATTAGATGTTTTACTTCCATCACCTCACGGACAGAAAGATGTTTAAGGCTCAAGATCAAGTTAGAAGACTGAGCAGCTCTCAAATCATTCCAAGCATCATTTGCTTTTGTGAATTTCCTTTTCCTGTATCAATGGTTTTGATTAGCAATTGTTCTCTTTCACTGACAGATTTTGCTTTCTTTTCATATTTTAAGTTCTTCTGAATTTAGCTCCCCAGTAAATTCGTCTGATATCATTCAACACATTCATAAATTGATCTTGGCTCCAGCAACCTAACTACCAGAATTTTCTAGCTTTCAGTGTTAGACATATAAATATTCTCTTGAATACTATTATTCAACTGTATGTTAGTACATGAATAGCTCAGAGAGGTTTCAGCATACTTCAAAGTTGCTCAGAATTACAGACTGCCTTGTTGGCCATTCACATATCAAGTATGTAATTGCTTTTGTCAAGACACACTTTGGAAATGAAATAGATACTCAGCAGAAAAACTCCAACTATTGCCTTAGCATTTGTAACAAGTTAAAATGATGTTAAGTCAATTGTTATTGAGTTTATTCTTCTTTACCTTGTAATTGTTTACAATTTTTTTCCTCCACCTTGAGAAGATAATTTTTGTTTTCTTCTTTTCTGATGAAACTGCTTTTTCCCAGTTCAGATTGAGCTGAAAGAGTCAGCACTGGTTTTAGCTTAAAACACTCTGCATACTGAGGCTGTGCTTACTGTGCCAGAACTATGGTCCACTCAGTAACAACAGCATTATTGTGGGAACAGTCTACTTCAGTCTGAACTGTGGTCAAAGTTAGCTTGGCCCTACCTGAAGGAGACGAAACAGAAGCAAAAAAGGCCACTGACCAACTGCCTGAGATGGTGGTGCACCTATACTGGCTCCACTCATGGGCTGTGCTGAAAGCAGGGCCCAGTCCCTCACAGTGTCTGTGGCATCCTCCAGACTTCAGCTGTAAAAATACAGAAGGCACGCAAGGGCTACATAAGAAATTCACCTGAATCATACTTGTTTCAATCTATGAACACTGCCACTTGAGCCACCTTGGTGACAATACGGATGCAAATTCATACCGCTGTCTCTAATGGTCCAGGATGCCTCAAAAGGCTTCCAAGAACCCATATACTGAGAACTCACCAAGACAAGTAACACAGGTTCCTAGAAAGTCTTACAACAAAACCAGCCAACAGTAGCACGCACACAGAGCAAATGCGCTTCAAACAGCACAGTTACTGAAGATTGCCACGTGTCTCGATTTTGCCAAGCTGGCTAAAATGCAAGTTATTCAGCTTCTCTGGTGCAAGCGTATTGTGCGCACTGATACACATCCACTCACACGCTTACTTAGTACACTGCTGCTATAGAATCAAGGTGGCCACAATGGGATCCTGCATGTACTCCTGTGAATATAAAAGATCCTGGCAAAACTGCAAACACATAAAAAAGAGAAAATAAAAATAAAATGAAATTAAAATAAAAAGCTACATTAATTACCATCAAGTTAAACAAGTTGAAGTGGGTTAGATGTTGAAGATACATCAGAACTTCCTGCTAAAATCAGAGCATCAATGCAGACAGGATTTTGAAAATGGAGCCCCTACTAACATTAGTAATACACACCCATGAAAAATAGCTTTCAAACTGTCTTACTGCTATGTAAAATACACAAGTCACAGAACTATGTTTTCTCCTCCATTTTATTTTCAAAATATTTACAAACCACTTCCTAAACATTAGAAAGTCAGGGACTCAATACATAAAATGCATTATCTTTTCAAAACTATAATCATTCTGCAAGTTTAAAGAAATTCTCTAGCAAAAAAGTAAAGGAATTTGTGTAGGCTTACAGCCAAAACACACATTTTTCACTTCCTAATTTCATTCTGTGCTTGACACCACAGCACCGAGAACTGCAAGAGAAAGCACTGGTAACATGTAGAGTAGTAACAAGTCAGTAACCATCAGATTGCTGCACAGTCTCTTCCATCTTATCCAAGACTGCTGAGCTTTAGTCCTTGTGTTAAGATCTTTCTTACAGAAGAACAGCTGTAACATTATCGTCTCTTTCCTTCGTATAATTTCCATAGCTTACTGATGTCATCTATTAGAATTATTTTATGCACACACACATACAATCAACTTTTTTTAGCTTGTAAGCACTGCAAACAGCCCTTAACATTACAGTAAATGATGAAACATTTGTTTCTTGCTCTCTCTCAATTAATTCTTGGTAAAAGGGATTAGGGAAGAAAGAAAAAAACAGAAACACTAATGTTCCTTTCTCATAACCACCACCATTCAGAGGCAATTTGGCGTGATGTATGTCTAACCCAAAAGACCGTATCTTTGTCCTCTGCTAGCATAATGGTTCTCCTTCTTAGTCAGACCACAGTGCCACCAGCCATACTAACATGAATGGAACAATGTGTTGTAGATTTAGCATAAATAATTCTTTTCAAAGAAAGATACTGCAAACACTTCTTACCAGAACTGAATGATAATACAAATGGACCCATGAATACAGCGGAAATACTGTCTGAGAAGAGATAAAGGAGAGTTGCAAAAACATGTAGCCATAGAAATAACCTATCCTGGTTATTTCTACACACTGTAGCACAAACATTTAATTTTCTTAGAGGGTTATTTGAGAAGAAGACACTATTGTGATACCATGATAAAAGAAATTAATTTCCCCAGAGTTCCTTGGATACCTGAGGTAACTTTTACTGATGTTATTTACAGGCACACTGGGAAGCAGAAAAATGTAAGAGGGTGAAGCTAAAGGAGTGCTAAGCTGAACTAATTGACATTATCTTAACTTCTGTTAAATTCACTGAAGAAAACCACTAGCTTAAATTCTGATTAAATTTATATTGAATGAAATTGATAAAATATTATTTTATGTTAAGTATGTGAAGTATTACATAAAATTACATCGATTTACATACATTATGTAAAAATATGTAAAGTATACACACACTTTACATGTGTACCAAATCCTGAAATTTCAACACTCATAAGCATGCCTGTTCTCGCTGTAAGAGCCACACATCATAGCTGTAGTGATACCACAGTAGGATGGGAAGCAGAGAGGACTAGGTATTTCTAGTCCATAAAAGGAACTGTTCTTTTCACAGCAGTGAAAGCAAAAGGATAAGCAGACTTTTAGCTAATTAGCAAAACACAGGCCTACTGTTTTAGGACTACAGGTTCCTTTGCAATGTGGACACAGGCTCAAAGGAATGCAATCTGTCTCCTGGAAAGATACTCCAGATTCACACGATGGTTTGGGAACAACCGAAGCCAAGAGAAGACAGCAGATCCTGCTGAAATGAATTCATAGTGAGGGACAACTCTGAGGTCTCACAAGCGCAGCACAAAAGCTCAGCAGGTGGAGGTAGCCATGCCCAGGCACATTCAATTACTTCTCTTGCTACCGAGGCTTATTTCTAAGGGCAGCTGATAGCTACTGATGAACTGGAAGAAACTTTTAAATAGAAACTTTAGGATCAAACATTACTCCACTATAAGATAGAACTAAGTGATCCTTAACTTCTAATGTTGATTTAGGACTCTGTGGGTGCTAGTAACTTGCACAGGTTAAAAAAAAAATACATGAGTAGATAAATGCATGCAGGGGGCAAAAAAGGCACTGGAGGCTGTCAAAAATGAAGGCAACAACTCCAACATAAAATGTTGCCAAGGCACAGGTTTTTGCAGGATGAGACTGTATGTGAGGCGGTATCACTACATGTTGCCTTCTATGCTCTTTGCCAGCCATTACTCACTACCATTGCTAGAATTAAACTGACAAATCACTCCATGGCCAATTATGTGCCACCGAAACGAGAAATGCTCAACTTCTGTATATTTAGATGGAGCAAAATTTCCTGCACTGAGTCAAGTTAAGGCATCAGCTCAAATCCTGGCAGCACTCCACTATTTCTTTTGAATTTCTTCTTTTTGGCCATACCTTTCCCAGATCCCTTCCTGGGTCACTGGGCACTACATGGAGGTCTCTGACAGACAGGGTATGGAATCAGCTGGGCTAGCAGTCACAGCCATGGCGCCCACCCTTACCAGCCCACTGTCGGCCTCACTTTCTCCCAAAAACTTACCTATGCTAAGGAATGAGGTGTCCCACTGGAGCACGATGCATCACTGGAGCATCATGGTGCCACCGTTATTATTAATGGCAAAAAGTTGTTAATACTAACCATCACCATCAGCTACAGTTATCAAGGTAACACCGTGCAGTACTTCGAGCGAGTAGTGTCCCTCTGAACAGAGGTGTGCGTTGCTGCCTCAGGAAAAAGCCAAGGCAGCTTCCAACGGCCCTCAGCACCCTGCTTTGCCAGAGAAACCCGAACTTTTTCGCCTTCCTCTGAGCTGAGGGGTAAAACCGCAGCGGCCAAACCGTCAACGAGGCACGACCCCAAGCACCCCCCGACGACACTTTCCAGGCCCGTCACCAGCAGGGGTGGCTCCCACGCCCGCGCGGGCCGAGGGTCCCAACAGCCGCCCCGCTCGCCCCTTACCATCTGGGCCACCTTCAGCATGCCGGCGCAGGAGCGGAAATAGGCGCCGTCCATGAGCTCCGCGTCCGAGCCCGCTGAGGAGGC